TTCAAATCATATTTGGCACCATTGAATGATATTACCGGAAGTTGTAAGCAATATTCATCTAACCTATTGAGAAGAGTTTTGGCCTGGGCTAGATGACCCTTTAGAACTTTTGAAGGTACGTTCAACATGTCATCATCCGTAAATTCATTAACGTCATCTCTCTGTCCACCATCGTCGGTCACATTATTATCACTCTCAGATGATGTATCACTGTCAACGTCTGATACATTTGTGTCAATGTCCATGTCTGAATGAATACTTGCACTGTCCGCACTGCATGCCATGTCCTGGTCATCAGCACAGTGTCTAGTGTCAAGTCTTTGTAAATATTCCCTAAATGTATTAGGCTTTTGCAATTTTTCTAAAAACTCAGGCGATGCTTCTTCATCGTCAGTCACGCATCCATCTTTGTCATAATTACTTGTGTTAGAATCATCCGATTTTCGACTGCTAACAATGTCATTCAATCGCTTTATTTTTGAGTTGAGATTGTCAAAAGTTCGGGAAAATTTGGAGGTCATAGTCTCATATACATTACTTTGAATATCTTGGAGGTAGTTAACCTTGTCACTAACTAATTCATCGACATCAGCACTGACAAAACATTTCGGACTTTGGAATCCGTCAACGTTACTACATACACTGACGGATACGGGAATATGTTTGGATTCCCAAGTGGATTTGGTGGACTTAATAGAATCAGGGCATATCATCGCTTCATAGTCAAAACACGCAAAATGCGTAAAATATCTGTCACCTTCTGGGACATATAAAACACTGTCAAAAGCTTCAAGATCTTCGAACAACGTTGTTTGTGGTTTGCAATAACCACCGGGAAAGTGAAGAAGTGTGGCATCACTGCACGTTTTCTCGTGCCTTTTCAAATCACTAACTCTCTTTGTGATGTAATCACAGTTTCTGCATTTATATTTCTTGCAGTATTTTGCCAAAGACGTGATATAACTGCAATGGTTTTGAAACAAGTTGATGTTCATCTGATCTTGATACCTTTTGACAGCTTTGTACACACACTCAGCTGTACCTTCTTCATTGAGAGAGAAAATATTGACTGATGTGTCATAAGTTTCTTCAAATTCAGGAATTTGAGAAAGGGAGACACCCTTAAAATTGTCTTCCCTGGCCCATTTTTGAACTAAATGGTTAACTCGATCTTCGAGATTTTGAAAGGATTGGAGCTGATGATAGGCAAGACAGCGGAAAAGGCAAAGGGAATCGTTATATGGATTACCCTTTCTATCTTTTGTAAGACCAACAATTGACATTTTGTTCCTTAAATACTGAGGGAAAAATATACCCTCACCCAACGGGAAATCTAACCTGGTCACCACATACCTCACATTCGTCAGCCTGTACACTGACCATTTAGTATTTGGCCTTAGTTTAAAAACTAAATTGATGAAGTCCAAATCATTTAATTTTCGTTTCAATTCCTCTAAATCTTCGGTGTCAGAAATAAGTATGGGGGAAGATAATAGCCCCTCATTGTTGTGTGGATAGAAATATCGTAATTGATTAGTCTCTATGTTTCTTAGAACAAACCCCAAAGAAAGAGAAATTTTGAAAACATGCTTCTGTTCATTGAATATTTCGTTCAATTGTTCATTGACTTGGTTGTAAGACAATTGTCCATCAGCTAAATGAAAATTATATACATCCTGAATAGTGCCCCTCGAGTGATCCAGTTTTATGACACGTCCGTGAGATTCATAAATTTGTTTAAGATCTTGATCGATCTCTCCATCTTCATTCTCCCATGGTTGGTGATCTTGTTCATGTACTTCTTCATCATTGCTATGATTAGATTCCTGCTCGATTTGATCAGGTTCAGCCCCCCCTGATTGACTATGTTTGCGGAACATATGAGATTTTAACGCATTTCGACAATCAAATGATCTAGTGCAGCTTGTGCACATATACTCTCTATGCGATTTCATATGTCTATTTAAGTCAAAGTTGTTTCTGAAGGTCTTTCCACATTTCTCACAAAGAACGCTGAAAAGTAAAATAAAATAAAAACTCTTTGAGGCTGACATAGGTCTTGGCTCAAACAAATAAGAGATCAATTCAATAGCATTCATATAATGTATTAATTTATACATGCTATATAAATATTCTTGGATATAACTTTGGACTTTGTATCATAATTACAAATTACCTCTCTTTCTTGAACCTCTTCTTTTCTTGAGAGAGATCTGCATCAGTAGATTTTCGTTTAATGTTTTCACTGGAAGTATTCTCTTTGTCTGTTCTTGACCTAAATTTAAAGTATATTATTTATTCATAAATATCAGTCGAACGAGTGATTTATACAATTTCATATTTTTGAGTATGTCATGTTTCAAAAGGAAAATGTCTACTTACGCATCATATTTGGTGCATCTTCCCAGACGTTGGTGTTTCTTTACACTTCGTTTGTGTTTGAATGTATTTCCACAATATTCGCATTTAAACTCCATTACTCTAAATCCAAAAAGCAATGCTTTAATTTTGTCTTCTATCCTTAGTTGTATCACATTAAACTCCACTGCGCTAATGATTTCAATGGATGTATACACTTTTAATATAATAGCATGTGCAATTTTGCCAACAATCTTTGGACGAGTTCATTTGAACCAAACAGATTTACAATACTGAAACTGAACTAGACGAGTCCACTTTTCCTGTAACGAAATTCTTTGGAAAACTATTAGTATTCATATTGTTGATCATAAATTTGTTTGAAATATTGAATTGCAAAATAAAATCCAGTTGCTGGCCTACACTGATACTATCAGAAATTATATGTTCATGCAATACATTGATATAATGATTATTTTAACATGTCTGGGCAGAAGTTTATAAGATGATGGTTAAAATAGTATGCAGATATATAACCAGCTTGCCTAGACAAATTGTTAATCTCCTGATCATAACATCCTGTTGCACATGCGCAGAGAAGTTTAACCTGTTCAAACTAAAATCAATTAAAGTACTTACCAGAGTGACATAATCTGAAAGTTTTAGATATATCCTGTGTCTTATTC